TTTCGCAGACGTCGAGACTTACGCCAAACGGAAGGCTGGATGTCAAAACACAGTGAAAGCGTACAATTTTCGCCGAACCTGGGTATTTACATGGAATAAAAGGTATTTATTTGCGACTGAAATATAGGACAAAGGCTTTACCTTGATCAATCTTTGAGGTGGCTGTTACCAGTTTTCATCTTTTTGATGGTTTGTAACTTTGAACGAATACAACAAAAAGACTCACTAAGGCCAGTTGAACACTTTTACAGGGTTGAATTATATAATCATTGGTTATTCAAAAATAGGTGTCATTTCATCAAAAGCAGTTTCCATGACAACGGTTTAATAGGCTTATTCAGACGCATTTTTTAGCTTGTGGCTTAAATAATTCGAAAAGTAACCCGGTGACCCCATGTTTTTTTTAGTAATTGCTTTTGGCACTTGAAAAGGAAATTGCACAGAGATTTTTAAAAATTTCTACGGAGCTGAATTTCAGAAAATCTAGAAAAAAGGCAATTTTCACACATCGCAAGTTTCCTTCCGAAGAATTTTCTTTTTTTTTTTTTTCTGATGATTCCTTTCGACGTTATTATCATATTGGAACAATAAAAAGAAGGGGTCGCCGGACTTGTTTTCATGCAATAGCTTTCGTGAGTTTAGCAATTTCAACGCGCGTTCTCGCGCATTTAAAAATCTGGATTCTATAAGATCTATAAGATCGACATTTGCTCATGATCTGTTATAGCTACCGCTGACAATTGCGTGTGCTCGCGCGAGCGCCTACGATCTGATGTTAACAGACGTAAATTCGCGTTTCCTGCTAAGAAAATCATTAAACAGCTGTCAAAGACAGCCTCCCGGGCTCATCTTAAAAATCCTACACACGATTTCTGGCTACATTATATTATTTTCCTTGAAGTTTCAAAGTCTTNGGGAAAAAATAGTATTCTTGGGTGAAGCGCGACGACTGCTATCCGTGCGGATCGCTAGCTAGCATTGATTAAATTGACAGACTTGCGTCGTTTGCTCGCCAAAGGAAGGAGCATCAAAGGTAGAACATATCAGGCTAAAGCATATTGAAAATCAGACAAACCTTGTGCAAAATAGGTTTGTTTTAAAATTTAATATTTTAAACTTTTGCGATGCGTAAATTATTGTAAATAAAGCTAAAGCTTAATAATTCCTTGGACTGTTGATGTTCAAGAATTGAATAACCTACTCTCGAACTTTCGATATATATGTGGAAATTTGATCCATGAGTGAGAAGAAGAAGGTTTTGGACGTCTATGAACGATGTCATTTCTTAAACTGACGAAGCGAGAATAAACAAGATTTCAGACGTCGTCGTCCTTGAGCAACTTCACTGCTTAAGTTTCATTTTCCCGCTAAAAACGACGTCCTCGTTCCAGACCCTCCGCGATTACTTGACGTCGTCGTCGTCCCTTTCGTCGTGGTTACTTAAGCTCCCTATTGCCTCGTTTAACGACGCCGAAAAGTTTCGGTGTATTGAAAGCGTCTGGAAGCCAGATCTACTGTTTGAGTTCCCCGCGTCGAAAGAAACCCTAGCCTGCGTAGCATGGTTCTTTTAAGGGAGGGGGGTGGTGGGGAGGGTTTAGGGGCTTGGAGCAGAAAAAGAGCCTGCTTTCAGCCTATTCAAATTTTCATAACGCCCACTTTAGCGATGAAATTACCTTAGCCAATCAGCGATCACCGGACGTGGAGGGAGTTGTCAATTTCACGTGTGAAACGGTTTGACGCGTAGCGAGAGCGCCAGCGAACTAAATTACAGCGCTTAAATTGCTGTATCTGTCGTTTACGCCGACGAAATGCGCCAGAAAAGCTGTGTAAAATGTCAACGATATTTGTAGGTTTTGCTTAACCAACTTGAAGATAAACAATCGCTCTTTTGAGAACTTGTTTAAGCCTTCGAAGCGACAGGATAAATATCGTGTTGAGCTCGCTGAAGTTCTACGAAACCTAGGGACACCGTGAGTAAATCATCATAACATTCAGAGCGTGTTTGTGCTCCTTGTGCAAGAAAAATAAGAAACGGTGCAGACATTCTCGCATGGCTTCGAAAAGCTGCAGAAACTGAAGTGGTTCATTATTCTGATCACGATCGAAAGAAGCGCGTGTTATCAACGATAATAACACCGGAAAGGCAATCAAACACCAAAGTTAAAAGAGGAATATCGTCGAAGCTAGATCTTTTCGATGTAGTACAAAGTTGATATGATGAAAACGATCCCTTGGCTTTTAATATTGACTCAGACAACCTTCCAGAAAAAGTCGGAAGTCGAAATATAGAATCTTATGAACATAGACACGATCGACCGAGCCGCCAATGAAAGTAAAGTTGAGGTATTTATAGCATATCCTAGCGGGAATGTTATTATTAAGGAGAATCTCGACAAACTATCAGCTACAATTATCAGATGCATGGCCCTGAAACAATGGAGTACTGTGGCTGAACACCTACCGTCTTCCAGACCACGTTTCAACCGTGTGCGTTTCATCGTCAACGATCAAAGAGAGACGTTCATGTATATCACTAGAAGATTTGAGCTCTTCGGTAAACTCACGACGAAATGCATCCTCTGCTGAACAGAAGAGAAGCTTGAAAGTAGATTTCTTTAGATCCTTGGTCGTAAGCTTTGACAACTCAACAGCATTACCAGGATTTTTAATATTAAGATGTAGTATCTGATCGTTCACAATGCTTGCTAGTGGCACGATAACTAAAACAACAGTAGAACTGTCCCCAGAATTCGTGATCTCAGAAAACTTTTCATAAATAAAACTCTTTCCAAATCCTGTAGGAAGGACAGCCAGAACATCCTTTCCTTCCAATAGACGATTTATAGCTTTTTCTTGCTCTGGTTTTGCTTGAAACAAGAGGCTAGATGACCGCTCGACCGGAAGTCAGCTTGTAGCTCAAATCGTGCGTGACTACGTATATGTCAATCAAACCTACTGCTAGCGAATCAAATGCTTACGTTCGCCGGCAAACGTAAACATGAAAATTTGAATAGGCTGAAAACAGGCTCTTTTTCTGCCCCAAACCCCTAAACCCTCCCCACCCTTAAAAGAGCCAGGCTGAGCAGGCTAAAGAAACCTGTGCATGGAAAGCTGCGAAAGTTTCGACAGGAATGGCTCGTGAAATACCCTTGGCTTGCTTATTCTAAGTACTTGGATGGTGCATTCTGTTTGCCTTGTGTCTGTTTTCGAATTATTGACGCATTATTCTGATAAGCGTCAGTTTTCTTTCTCTCAGTTACTTACACAGCTGACTATGCTGCTATATCAGCCAAATGCTTTAGATCGATGAAAAAAACTGAGTCCCCGTATAATATCTCAGCAAATATCGAGTTGACAGATAGATCATTCAGCTGGAAATGTAGCTGTGTTGCTGGAATAAATGGATATTGCCATAACATCATTGCTTTGTTTTTCTACCTGGCAAATGTACACTGTAAACAACTTGGTCTTAGATCTCTGCCTGATGACTTGACATGTACTGGTGTGAAGCAGCGATGGAGCACCCCAAGAGGGGAAAAATCGAACAAAAGCAAATTCAAGACATTCTAGACAAGAAACCTAAAATGGAAGCAAATTATTCAAAGTTGTACTGTTGTCTCGAAGACGTCCTCGAATATCGAATCGGGATCCAAAGACAAGTTTCGAGTCTCATTAGATGTTAAAAGAAAGATTGTTTTATAAGTTGTTACTATTCTTTATAAACCATTTCAAAAAAGTTGAGAGATTCCGGAAAAATTTTCGATCTTACTCGTTGTTGAGTTCGCCATGTTTGTCTTGTTCGCGCTCACATCGCGACGTCAAAACTTTGTTAAAACTCTTACATTCGTGAAAACTCTTACAAAAGTCGTAGTGTACTAAACTCTGGAAACAATAAGAGATTACAGCTATGAAAGAAAAGGATTAGGATTGACCTTAAGATCACTGTAAACCTTATTGAAAGACACGCTTCGATACAAAGATAATAGCTGGTTGTCATGCAAGACGGAAAATAGCTTGCCAGTCAGCATGGCGTTGCTATGGGGTGATTGGTCACGTGATCAACTCCTGCATAAGGCCCAATGGTTTCGTTCGTCTTGTTTTCGTCTTTCACAAGTAAATACTGACACACGTACCTACATCAAACGTTGCAAATTTGAAAATATATATCTAAATTATATATTATTTCTTTTCTCGTCAAAAATTATCCCTCTTTGATGGAAAAAGGAAAGGTATATATATGTTTGATATACAATTACATTTTGCAACATTTTTGAAAACTGGTGTGTGGGTATTTAACAATTATTCCACTCGCGCTTGTTGGATATGAGATGATCATAGCCAACTCGGCGCGTTTTATTAAAAACATTAAATTCAATATAAAATTATACTAAATTCTTAGCTCCCTTTTAATTTTAAGCTGACGCGGGCGCTTACCATATTTGTAGATTATGGTATATTCAGTAAATAAACCCCTTCGGGCGGCTGGTATGTCGGCTGATAATGTCCGCGGCTGAGAGATTGTCCGAAAAATGAATATTTGGCCGAGAAGCGAAGCTTCGAGGGTAAGTATGAAATTTTGAGGACAATCTCTCAGCCAAGGNAAAAAAAAACGAGTTTGGTTTTCTTCCATGTAAATAGGCGAACGGAAAAGTTGAAACTCTTGTGTTGACTATGTTTCTTTTTCACGGAAAAAATCGGAGGACAAATATCGACGCGGACAGGGGTTATTGCGTGATAACTGTCCTGTGATTTTGCACCACGTGACGTAAAGTAACCAATAAATGAATGGGTGGGTTATAATGGCTCACATACCATAATGGCTAAGCCAATAAAAAGTCTTGAATTGTATTATCCAATGAATCCAGTTTTTAATATATATATATGTATATGTAGGAGGTCTGTGTTTCGATTTTTCCGGCTTACAGTGCTCGATACATAAATCTCCTGATAAGTGAGCAATCCCGAAACAGGCTTGTAGGGATGAAAGCGAAGTCGTCGTATTTTTCTCAATTGACATATATATATATATAAATATAGGAAGTCTGTGTTTCGATTTTTCCGTATAACAGCGCTCGATACATAAAAATAGAGTGCAATATAGGTTGAGTAGAAAAACTCGACGACTACGTTTTTATCCCTACAAGCCTGTTTCGTGATAACTCACTCAAATAAAATCCCCTGATGAGTACAAAGATTACACTTTCATCCCTACAAGCCTATCGTTTAAATACTATAGCTATAGAATCTCGTAATAGGCGTGGCGGTAAATTTAAATGCTTTGTTCAGTTGTTACGAAGTAACGGTTTGTTTCTGTGGCGGCATATGGACACAAGTTCATTACGTTTGTTTAGTGATGATAATTCAGGTCAGCAGATGATCCGTAATTTTTCTTTGAGGCAGAGGTTACATCTTTTACTTACGCTAATCAAGCTCACCCACAGTAGCGCAAGTGTAATGGGAGAAAGGAAATTTTTATTTATCTAGCGAATCACTCGAGAACAAATTTTCTTGGTTTGTGAGTTACATCAGTGTACTTAAAAATCATCTTATGATCTGGGATTCAAGGAATTCGTCAAGGAAGCAACAAATTGCATAAGGAGCAACCAAAGAAGGGTGAATATGAGAAAGGCCACATCGTTCCTTTCGATATCTTAGCATACAGCTATGATAGTGCTTTTGCCACTTTCTGCTACACCAATGTGTACCGCAAAATCAAAATTTCAACAGAGGTCAGTGAGCACAGTACGAAAAGAAAATAGTCAACTATGCTTCGTCCGTCTGTTCTCCAAGAGGCGGAACCCTTTACCTGATCACTGGTACATCACGGGTTAAATTTGACCCTAATCCTCAAGGTAAGGTGCAACCAATGTGGCTGTTCCATAATAATGTCGATCTAAAGATCGCAATTCCAAACTCGATGTGGACAGTGGGCTGCTGTTGGAGTGATGAAGTAGGAGTCGTGGGAGCGTTTGGTGTAATGGGTGATAATTCTCGTAATCCAGAGTTGAATAAGAGTATTATGTCCACACAAAGCGTCCAGGTTGTTGAAAACGTCCTTCACTTAGAGAATCCAGAAATAAAGTTGTTTCCTGGGAGGGAGGATTGCTACAAGACAGAAAAGAACGTTAAGTTGAATGATTTAAAATTTAAACAAGTTTCTTGAATGGATTATGGGTAAAATCCTTGAAAAGAATTCTAAGGGCACCCTGCCTGAAGTAACCAGGGGCAGATCAATTAAGGCCCATTTTTTTCATATTTCAGTTAGTACGAGCGCTATGATTGGTTAATGTAGTGGGTCGTACCTCACTGTACAGCTGTAGTATTTGTAACTCAAAATGAAGGACACAAAGTCACTATAAAACTGCCATGTTGTATTCTGCTCTCTTCAACATACATCGAAGGTTTCGGATCTAGTTACCAGTACCACAGTAGCTCGCTTAGTTCAAAAGTTTGCTTGAACTAAAATCTTCCCCTTCTTTTTTAAACCCAGAAATAGTATAAATATGTTACTAACTCGTTTTTCTCGGGCTGTACTGTAAGTTACGAACTCGGTTAGGAAGAGGTATTTAGAGCTTGTATTTCCATTATTAATGTTCATAAATACGTATGATGCCATACCTATTAAACAATCTATATTGTAACGAACGAAGAGGTGGAATCAATTAATCAATCAGTTGATTAAGGAAATTAAAAGAAATTTAAGGTTTCCCCGAACATTTTGTCAAAGATTTGATACCTAGCTATACTAGTCTTGTTTTACGTTTTTTTGTTGTTGTTAACTGGATCCTCTTGGTAATTTCCCACCCCATTAAAGAGGAAGAAGGGCTCAAAAAAGCATCCGTTTTTCTTTTCACCAACAAAAAGCTTGATACAAAGATGGAATACCACTATAGTTTCAGCTTCCAAAGCGCTTCCTAACCATGTGATATCATCAAAGAGCAGAAAAGTACAAAGTTCATGAAAAAACTCTGTAAACCTGTTTTCCGATTCGAGCTGTTAGAGACAACACCCTCTTGCAGTTTCTCTGAGTTCACTTCGAACACAGTCGACCTTTTCAAACTGCCAAGTCTTTCAGACGCATCACTGTCGTCATCGAGCACCTGATTCTCATCGGGAACGCGTTCTGGCTCGAAGCGATACGGCTCTTCTGTAGCTATGTTTGTTTCCCGGCAAGATGGCCGCGCTATTGCTCTATTTTCGTGGAAGGATTTTATGTGGTTAAGAAGCGCTTTGAAGGCTGAAATTTTGTTAAGGGTTTTTTTTCCACATGTTAACCTTTTCTTTGGTGAAAGGAAAAAAGAGTGCTTTTCTGGACCCTACTTATCCTGTAAAGAGGCTTCATTTACATTCGTAGGGACTAGATCTCTACGAATGTTAAAGGCCACTTAATCATTTTTATCCATTCGAATGACGCAAATCCCCAAGTTCATTTTACTCGTGAGTGTGGGCCTGACGAAATCTTTTACTTTAACAAACATATACAGCTTTTGTCTCATTGCTTTTGTCTCATTGCTCTCCGCAATTGGTCTAGAAACGAGTGCCATCCTAGCCTAGCCTAGCCTACCTGCCTCTCATCACTGGCCCTGCAGCCCGCGAGAAGATTTGTGAGAAGTCGGGGAGATATTTGTAGGGGGGAGGGGGAGGGAACATGGCAACAATAATAATAATAAGCTCAAACCCTTAAATTAGCCAGCTTCCTTTTCTTCGTGCCGAAGCACTGATAATTAGGGCTTACTCGCAGCCTGGTGCCAAAAACATCAACCATAGAGAAATATGTTGTTCGTCTTGTCTTGGTAATGGACCTTGCTCACCATAGAGTCTCTGTGGCTCAGTAGTAGAGCATCGGAGCGCGGTACTTGTTCTTTGTTCCACGTTCCTGACAAGACGAACAACATTTTTCTCTATTTATTTTCCGAGCTCAAAATTCAACATATCTCTTTTTCTATTTCTAAATCGACCATGCAATCAGAAGCAGACAAAACTCAAATTGAGACTTGGTTTTCCGCGTTTTCGAGTCGCCAACCGCAATGTTTCCTTCAGCTCTCATGCACCTTGTAATGTTTACCTTGTTCTGGTTGGGGAACTACTTTGGTCTTGTTTCACTTAATCATAAAAGCTCAAATATCGATTGTATGATTCCAATTGTGAATAATACGTCTTACTATATAGCTGGCAGCGCTCGGGGGCAATATGAAGCGACTCCTGTGTTCTGATCAGCTACCCGTTAGCCTGCACGGGATTGCCCGCTTTGATCCCGCGTAAGAAAAGCTTTACTTGGAGGGAACTTGGAACAATAAGGATAATAATTAAGAGACTATTGTCTTTTTTAAAATCTCCAAGCAATGATACAAAGTGGTCTAGTCCGCTTGATTGCAAGGCGCAGCTTCTAAGAAGTGTGGGAGGGTTTTTTCTTGTTGTTGGTCGTAGCTTCTGATTCGAGAATATCCGTCAGAGCTTCAACTTTACTATTCTTCGCTCATAGTTATCCAAATTAAGGGAATAGTTTCCGGCTTTTGATCTTGTTTTCTCACTTAACAAAATGCTGCTCGTGATCAAGAACCTAGTTTACTAAGTAAATAATGGATCGTGGCTTATGAGATACTGCACAATAAAGGTTGTTAGTTGAGAAGGTGCTTATCTTTTCGATTGATTACTATTATAATTTGCATTTTTTGTTTGAGCTGACCCGTGATTGCAGCTACAGAATAGTGGATGGAGTCTGTCGATCTCTTTCCTGATTTGTACTTGACAAATCAAGTTCTTTATCAAACAAATCTACCCGGAACTGTTGAATAGCTTTTGTTTTCAAAGAGATCCATGCAGTTAAAGATATGAGAAATAAAGAGCAACACGAAGCAAAGCGAGGCGAAGAGACACCGATCCTGATACGAAATTACCTGTTACAAGTAGGTGTGTCTAATTTGTTCAAATCGAGTTGACTGTTAACGGTTTTGAAGAATGGAACTTCAGTTCAAGAGAACAAGTCACGAAAAGCTTCATTCGTATCAGAGAAAAAAAGGGAAAGAGATACTTTAACAGGTTTGGAGATGCGTAGAAAGCAGCCACGCCAATGGTTTTCACCAAGGTGAAATTTTGTAACCACAAAATTGATCAATTACGTTTACACGCCGGCTTGGTCAACTTAGCAATCTCTGGCTGTGAAAGGGTCGTTTCCATCCTTGAAATGATTTTTAACACGATTCCAACGTCAAAACTTCAAGCCATAGTCTTAGTTTAAGAAAATTTTGCGGGGTAAAGTTCACGGTCTTTTTTCCGCTTATTAATTATGAATGACGTTTAAAATTAGACCACTACCGTCGACTTCAATGCGACATTTAAAGTTTGTAATCCCAAAATGAACACTCCTGGTACAGTCAAGTCCCAACTTAATAACTGAGTGAAGAATCAATCAATGAGTTGCGAAAAAAAATTGTCAATCCCTTTCAGCCAAATCTCATTAGATTTTAAAGCGGGAACTTTTTTTTAGCCGAGGAATCGAGATGAAGCTTATTTATCATAAAAAGACATTTTTACGAATATTATCGAGCAATAAACAATTACAGGCTAAGGCAAAATTCAGTCAGGCTCACTATATATTCTCCCAGCTATTCATGCAGTGGCATGACAAAAAGGTTTCAAAATTACCAGTTTTTCTCCCTGACAAGTCTGTTAAGCTTTTAATTTAACCAATTCCTCTTAAGTTTAGTAGCAATGCATATCAGGAAACACTGAGAGGCAGTGAGGCGTGAAAGCCATTAAGATGCCATGAATCTTTAGGCGGTAACAATTAAAAGTTAAAATAGATCGCTCATCACGAAACTGTTGTAAAGCTGGTAAGAACGTCGAGGCAAGAAGACCTCAAGAACTGACCAGTCGACCGAGAAGAGTCATCTTAATTTGTAACGACGAAAGGAAGATGAATTATCTTGGTTTGCTTTTCTTTATTGGCTTGATATTTACAGTTAATCTCAATGTATTTTCCTGGGCCGCAACGACTTTTAATAAAACCACGGTGAAAAGTAAGTACCTCTTTCTCGGGCTTTTGTTTTGTTTTGTTTTGTTTTGTTATTAATTTCTAATACGAACTTTAGACTGACATTTTCAGAGAACAAAGACAATAAGGAAAAGCTCGAAATATTGAGAAACAAATTGAGCTTTAGACTGATTTATCTTCTTTCTCCATTCTTCTTCTGATTATTACAAAGAAAACTGTTAAAGTTTTCAATTTTGAACTCACTTCTAGATTACAATGGATTTGGGCATCTGAACCGACAAGCGGAAACGCGTATGGTGCAGCAATGCGATCTTGACGATTTCTCTTTGGATTATCAAGAACCAGTTTTTCCACAAGTCCCAGGTGTTACCACCTCCATTTGCCAAAGGGGTCAGTTTGCCACATTTTACGATGGAGGTTTGGGAATACCTCGTTACGCAGTATATATGCTTACGGACGACGAAGTGAAAAAGTTTAAATCGTTTAAAAGACCTACGAGTGACCCATGGTCTCAAACTCCAGGTATGAGTTAAAATTCTTTCTCCGACGTACAGTCCTAAATGGTTTGGGCCATACATCAGTAGATTCTATTAGAACGCAAGGATTACAAAAGCTGACGTTTCGAGCGTTAGCCCTTCGTCGGAGCGAATAGAGGAATTGTGGGTTGTGTGTGTTTTTAAAGGCAGAAAATGGAGCTACGTTATTGGTGGGAACATGGCAACGAGAAAAACANTGGATGTGGCTGCGATGAATGATTAACTGAGAAACTGAGGTGATAAATTATGGTGAGACCTACCGAAACTAAAATGCAACACACACGAGCTGTGAACCGAACGGGCCTGGGAAATAAAACTGACCGATTGGGTCCCAGGGCCTACTGATGAAAAAGGCGGCGAAACCCGTAACAATATTCATCTTTGCATCCATCTCATGTTAAGAATTCCATTCCTTTTTCTCAGTTTCTAAGACTTAACCATTTATGTAGTGATGACTCTGATTTCCACCTCAAATCAGAGTCAATGTGCCAGTTTTTCGACAAATGTGGTTACCCTGTTTCTGTCGTTCAAGTGGGTTACCACTGCGCCCAACTTATTCATCGACATTCAGCACTAAAAACGTTACAAAAGGAAGATTCCGACCGCATTCCATTCACCCTTGTTTCACCCTCACAACCACTCAGTCAAATCCATCATTCTTAAAAACTTTACATTACTTCAAAACGATCCAGAGACAAGCACTATCTTTTCGCAGCCTACGCTAATTTCATTCAAAGGTGACAAAAACAATGGCAATTTTTTGGTCAGAAATTCTTTCCAGGCACTTTTAAATGCACTTGTGCACAATGCAAAACGTGTCCTTTCCTTCATTTTCTGCCTTTAAAAACACACACAACCCACAATTCCTCTATTCGCTCCGACGAAGGGCTAACGCTCGAAACGTCAGCTTTTGTAATCGTTACGGTGGCCAATTTACCATTTCAACTTTGTTGATATATCCAAATTATTTCGTTACTCCCACCGACGCAGCCCCAAACAGTTTCTTTCGAAACTATCAGCCTTTATCTATTAGAACGCTATAGGGTAACGAAAGAATTCTGGTGGTAATCGAGTGTGAGAAAGTGAGAGTACACGAAAGTGCATTTATTTATTTTTGTTTTATGAACAGGAATTACCCATCAGGGAAGTAATGATCTGTATAAGGGAGGAAATTATCAAAGAGGTCATATAGTTCCCTTTGAGACTTTATCTTACAGTGAAGAAAGTGGACTTGCTTCCTTCACCTACACCAACTGCGTACCACAGGTCGGAAGTTTTAACACAGGACTATGGCGAGTATACGAGGCTAAAATACGGAAATATGCCGGGGTGTGTACTTCACAAGGAGGGACCCTCTACCTGATCACGGGTATATCATTTGTTAGACTTGTAACCAATCCTAAAACCCTCCAACTCGAGCCGGAATTGCCACATTCTATCATGGCTTTCCCTAACAAGCCAGGCATCGTACAATCACAAAAAATTGCAATCCCTAACTCGATGTGGACAGCTGGCTGTTGTTGGAGTGCAATGAAAGGGATCGTCACAGGAGCGTTTGCTGTGATAGGTAATAATGATGAAAACAAAGAAATGAATAAGAGAATCATGGCCCACCAAAGCTTACCATATGTCGAACAAGTCCTTCAAAAAGAAAATAAAAATATTGAATTGTTCCCAGGGCATAACGATTGCTATGACCTGACTAAGCAGGTTACTCTTTGAAAGTATTTTGAAAAGAAATGGTTATGATTAACTGTTAACATAAATCGCCCAATTCCGTCAGTAGTCAAACTCGTGATTGACGAATCAGACTCTCGCGATTACAGACCGAGTTAAGCTACACCTGCAACTGTTTATCCTTTTATCCTTTAATTAGTAAGTAACTTGTAGCACATTTGGTGTTGTCCGTGAACTGAGTGCACAACAGATAATTAACGCAATTGAGTTCACGTGTATCAAAGAAGCGAATCATTAAAATAATAATAATAAACACAAAGGCCTCACTGCTTTTGAATGAATGCGGAGTCTGGCCGTAAGCCGCGCTACGGAATTCTTAGAAACGAGCGAATGTATGTTCAAGTGTCTGGTTAAGCACGTGACATACTGAGCAGCAAATTATCCGAGATAAAATCTTACGCTCCCATTCGGAATAAATTCCAGTTAAGTCCTCAAATTTACTCGGGGGAAAAACACGGGCAAAGAATCAGAGGATAAAATACCTTTCTATTGACTTCATACGCGTATAGTACTGATATTTTCACCGAAATATGGTGTAAAACCAAAACTATCCATTCCAGATAGTTTACAAGGGGGAAGGAAACAAGCCATTTTTTATTACAAAGAGTAGGTTTTCTTCTCATTGATAACGCATTTTTACAAAGAATCATTTTCAAAGTGGCTATGTGTAATAAAATGCCTTAAAACTCTTCTCTATTGACTGAGGGCACATCTTTTCTTCCAAGTAGTCCTTCCAGTTTTTAAGGAAATTAATACTATGACAACATCGGATATCAAGAGACAGTGAGAGAAAGGGAACCGTGAGATCCATTAAGATGCCATGAACTCCTTGGAGGCACCCGTGACGAAACAGATTAGGGCACAGTTCAGAACTCTTATGACAAAACTCTCTAAAGCTGAGAAGTGCGTAACATAGTGGGGAGATCACAACAGCTAAGCAGTTAACCTTAAACAGTTATACTCTTTGTGACGATACTTTGAAGATGAATTTTCTTGGTTTCGCTTTCCCCGTGGCGTTGCTTATAGCAGTTAAGCTAGAAAGTCTTACTTGAGCTGCAACGAATCTGACAGAAACCCCAGGAAAAGGTAAAAAAGTGTGGCCATCATCTCTAACCCCTTCGCTCGCGCATACGGTATTTGTTGGAGTGATCGTCGCTCCCAAATAAGCGCTCCGAGGATATAACCCAAACGTAGGCACAGGTGCAAAAATTATTTTACGGCGAAACTTTTTTTTTTTCACTTTCAAACGCTGTAGTTCTTTAGTAGACCTACATTAAAGGGCAGCAGTTACATCTATATTTTTGCAAACACAGTGCAAGCCTGTGCAAGTGGTAGACTCTGTGTCGGTCGTTGATTCGATTCCGATTCTAGATAAAAAGGTAAAACTTCACATTTTGATTTTTGATCGACAAGTTTTGTAACTACTCATTTTTAGGAAAAATCAAAACTTTGAATGACGATGTCTGTCACCTGCTGAAAACAATTTACAGTAGAATGAAAGAACTTATAACGCACTTCAAAGTTCACGGAAGTTATTTCTCCAAGAATTTTAGAAATGATTACAAGCAAACGTTTCATTTTCAAAATAAGGAACTGAAGAAACTGAAAATTTTGGCATCTTTGATGCACGGTCGATTAACCATCTAAAGCCACACTGAAAATTGGCTTTTGTTTCGAATTTTCCTTTCTTTTTTTACCGAGGATTAGATGTCTTAATTGAAGTAAGGCAAACGTCTACCAGAACGAAGAGAAGGCTACGTACGCTAGTCTTTAAAGAAGCTTTACACCATCGATTAGTCCTCAGAAGAATAAAGAGGAAAAGACCCTCTCTCTTCTAAATTGACAGTTAGTATTCAATTTTGGTCGTGATGGTCGATTGAACGTTTCTCGAAGACTTTCAATTTTTTTCTAACCGGAAGAATACAGCATTAATTTTGCATTAGGGACCAGCCAATATTCGTTGCGTGAGGGAGCTGGTGGATGGATCTTTATTTGGGGGGAGGGGTCTAAAGGACTTTTTTGGGGGGGATCATACGGTTTTCAGGGGGATTAAGAAGGGGATCGTCGATCGATCGTCGCTAACAGAATATAAAGGGAGAACAATAGAAATTGACTGTCAACGCGAAGGATCAGATGGATTTCGACACTATCCTCTAACTTCCCTCCCCTCCCGAGGCGGTAAATGACCTGTTCCTTACTTGCATTTCAAGTATACGAAAACCAAATCCTTGTAGAACTAACAATGGAAATTGAAAATGATCCCAGATTTCATTGCTGTGATGAATGGTTTACAGACAGATACTACTCGAGGTCTAATCTTATGCAGCAAAACAAATTAAAAACTGATTTATCAAAGATAAACTTTTATCGCTGCTCTGGAATGAGAAACGATTGGAGGGATATTACACGGACCCCTAAGGAAGTATAGTCGTCATCTACTTCTAGTGAAGAAGCTCTATGAAAGATAAGAAAGTATAGCATAATACAACAAAATATAACAAAATATAGAATGATATTGACGAACTTGTGGTTGCATAAATACAAAGAAAACTTTCTATTTTGGTAAAGATTATAAAGAGCAAGCGAAACGCCTAAGTGAACAACCAGTACGACGCGTGCAAGTGTGCAGTCTTGAAGATTTCTCGCTTGGTGGTCATAAACCAACCTTTCCAGAACAGCAAGGTATCACTTTTTCCATCTGCCAAAACAACCACTAAGCCACTTTCTATGATAGTGATTGGGGAATTGCGCGTTATGCAGTATAAAAGATTACTGCCTCGCAAGCAACGGCAGCCAGGGTAAAAAGACCTAGTGACCCATGGAAACCGACTGAGAATCCAGGTAAGGAAACTAGCTTTTCGCGATTATAATTTACTTTTGTTATGAAATAATTTAGGCAAAAGGTTAATACATTCCACTGATATTAAGGCGACAAAACGCGCAAAATATGCCGTGGTATTACGTTATAGAAGTGGGCAAAAATACGGACGGAAGGCGAACAAAATGACCGCGCTGACAATCCAAACTTCATTTATTTTCATTCTATTAGGATTGACTTTTTAAGAAACGAGCTTTTCAGTGTATCGAATTTGTCTTTGGTCACGTCTCCTCTATGGCTTCGTTTATACATACTGAGATATACGCACTGAAAAGACGCGAAGTAAATTTTCATTCGCATACTAGTAGAAGAAGCCGTAAGTCAATCAATACGTAACTTTACTAATACCAGAGTGAACTCTGGGATTGAAGTTGTGTGTTTGCAAACTTTCTTTTCATCGTGGGCCGGAGAGATCTTTCATCTGTGTGGGAATGTGAAAATGACCGTAGACATCCCGAAAGGCACAAAATGTTAACGAACACCTTTTCATTTTGTGCCGAAGTCCGTAACAAGTTGCTATACCTTCCGTCCCACTCCGTTTCACGCGGCCAGGATCCTTTTGGTTGTAAAGTATCAAAAAGCTTCACAAGTGTTAAAATAGTATATGTTTGTAACCTTTCCATTTTATGATGGGCCGAGGAGAACATGCTGGAATATACTATGGTAAACATCATATACAATACATAGATCATGTAGATATTCAAGTTCGCAGTATCTTTAAAATTCATATATCTTATTAGACGTTTTGTTGTGTAGTATCGCTGAGTATTTTCACCAGTTGTGCCGTATTTTGACTAGCCCGTAGGGCGATTCAAAATACAAACAACTCGTAAAGATACTCAGCGATACTACACAACAAAACGTCTAATAAGAAATTAATTATCCAACAGGCCAAATTGTTATTTCAGTGTGGGCGAATTTCGCGGATATTTCTGAAGTACAAATATCGCTTGATATTTGTACTCGTCTCGCGCGTTATTTGTACTCTACGAAGCACAGTTGGATAATAATCACAATTATTTCACGATCATTAGATACATACTAGTTTGTTTTTACGAATTTTATAAAGTGTCCCCGATTAGTAAGCTACTTGTGGCTACTTAGAAGAGTTTTGACACTTAATAAAGTTGTTGATTGATTGATCGATGAACCGAAGTTGTCTTGTACAAAAATTTGAAGAAAATCCCTTATTTACAGTACGCGGCAAAACGTTTTGTCATTGATGACATCTTCAGCCTCCATCACAGTTGTGATGTACAATACCGCCTTTTTTTCTCTTCTTTGTCCAATTTTAGGTGGAAATCAATTGATAGCTTAACTTCTATGGTTCTCCTCAGATATTAATATTTAAGATACAAATCGCTGAAGCTCGAGATGCTAATTTGTCGGTTATCAAATAATCACGTGTTACCAAAGCAAGAGAATACAAACTCATGAGAATACGAACTGTATAATAAACTATCTTGACCGAATAGTATTACTAAGATGCAAGGCAAATGACCAAGAAATATCTCTTCATCCAAAAAAGTGTTAAAATAGACCGTTCAGAAGCAAAAATCGAACGAATTTCTTGCATTCACGAGACCCAGGCGATACAATCATCATCGTTGTTTACATGACTTCACGGCCATAAAATAGCGTAGCGTTGTGTTGAAAATTGTGGAAATTGAATAATTTTAAGGACGAAATCTTCGATTGAACAATTCCTTAAGAAGATATCAACACTCAAAATTAATTTACTGGTCCAAATAATAGCTTAAATGTCGTAAAGCCTCACTTGAAATAAAAAAGTTCTGTTTTTTATTTTGCAGAGCTAATTCGTCCCTTTTAAGGATTAAATTCCATTATCATATATAGTTTTCATTTGAGCTTGAAAAGGTCCACCTTGATCGGAATGGAACGAAAGGTGTAACAATCTGCTACGGACTCCGGAACAAACCCACGAATAAGAAGGTTTTTGTATCTTTCGGGATGTCTATGGTCATTTTTCCACCCCCACACAGATGAAAGATCTCCACGGCCCTTCATGGAAAGAACGTGTGTAAACACACAACTTCAAGAGGATTTACGAAGCTTTTTCGGTTCTACCGTCTCATACAACAACAACAACAACAAAGATCGGCACAACATGCCATTTGAGCGACTTGGTACGGGCTCGGCTAATCCCTCCGCTCATTCCGACCCCGGCATTGAGTCCAATTACTCAAAAAAGATGACTGATGAAGTTCTTTGGGGGATTATGTGAAGTACAAGGCATGCAGAACAAAAGCACAAGAGAGAAAACAATGAAAAAATAAAGCGGCCAGATTCGAGGAAATAAAACGTGTATGTGGAAGAGTTAATTCGCTCCGTTCG